TTTTAATTTTGCCCGCTGTTACTCCACCAAACGATTGGGCTAATTTGATGCAGGCCCAATCCCTATACAAAACACCAGCCCAGGATTGCATGTACCCAGTCCAATACCTGGTCCAAGTCTTTAGCCCCCAGAGACCCCAAAACGGCGTAGTTTGAAATCTAAACTACGTCGTTTCATCAAAGTTTCCTTTTTAATAAAATAGAAGATTAAAAATCTGATCTTTACACCAAAATTAATCGCCACCTTTTCAATTCCTCTCCTGGGCGGCCGGAAATCGTCTCCGCTGCCCAGCACCACTCTACCACCACTCGCCGCCACGTTAACCTAGGGCTGTATTTTGTCCCGGGCCCGGGCNCGGAATTCGCCCTACGGCGGCGGGCCACCTCTATTCGACCGCAAATTTTCACCACACACTCCTTATACCATCCTCATCCCTAATCCATCGTTATTTCCCTCCCCCCCGAAAAACCCACCAAACCCAACGATTTGTCGATCTAAAAATTCAAGAAAATCCAAATCATCCCTTTTTCAATTCTTCCTTGAATCTGCCTCTTTTGGGGTTGAGACTTACACCAATCGAATGCTCTCAACGAAAGTTGTTGATTGGTGCCAGTCTTAGCCTATTTCATTGTTTGCCGGAGGTTGGTCAAATCCGTTGACCGACTGGTTTACCATTTGAACATGATTTTCCTCCCGTTTTCTCTTGGCGTGTGATGAGAATTGTGACATGCAACACTAGCCGTCAAAGAAATTCCGGCCAGTTCTCATGTTAGAATCCCCATTACTGGCTGGAGTCCTTTCTTGTCGGAGTTCGCGTTGCTTACCGAATTTCTTTGACGCCGTTGGGTGTATAGCAGAATTATATATTGTTCTTCCCCTTTTCTGTATTTTTTTCTGATTGTTGTGCTTCCGTGATTTCTGTCTGAACATGTTTAGTTAACCATTTGGTTTCGTTGATAATTAATTGTTCATGTTTAGTCGATTGTATATGTTAATTATTTTAATTATTTTGAATTAGTTTAATCATTAGTTAATTTTATTTTCAACCCAACTTGAATTTTAAGTGTGTTTCCCGACTGGTCTAGCTTTAGAGATTTTGGGCTTGTTTTATCAGAAAGACAGGCCCACAAAGTTTAGATTCCAGCTGGGAAATGAAATATGGATTATGGGCCTGTTGGCTTAAGCCCAGGCCTATGGGTATTGCCTATAGAGAAAATAGTAGGGAATTACAGTGGTAATTGAGGGATTAACTTGAGGGAATAATTGTGTAACTATTTCTGAAGCTTCCAGAAGGTAAAAAAAGGACTTAACACCAAAGAAGAGGGAAATAGGTTGGGTATTGGGGGATGTTAGAGGTAAAAACAGAAAAGGAAGGATTGAAAGGAAAAGAAAAATAAGAAAGCAGCCCTGATTTTTAGTTATAAAAGATACTCCCCCCTCACACTTTCCTCTAGTTCTTCTGTATTTCTGGTTTCTTCGAGGAATATTCTGGGTTGTTTTTCTGTTGCTTGAGAAATTTTCAGAAATCACTATTGTTTAGTGGTTATTAACTTCGTATAGCTACCATATACTTAATTACTTCCTATAGCTACCATATACTTAATATGATAATGTATTCACGCTACTGTATTCATGAATACAGTAGCAAAACTCGGCTAAAAATAGGACAGTCCAGCTATACGAAGCTGTATTCATATGTATTCGCGACATGTATTCATGAATATAGTAACGACAATCAACCTAAAAATAGGTCTTTCTGGCTGTTTAAAAACAGAAAGTGGATCAATTAACGTGATACACTCCTAATATAACTCAACAAACACCATTATAACACGCAACATTGTCAATCCAATTAATGAGGAAAATTTTCAGACGACAAACACCAAAAAACAGAGCCATCTTCAGAGTTTCACTCCTTTTTTTTCCTGGTATCGTTCGAGATTTTTTTCCCACTGATATTGTTCGAGATTCTGCTAGGAAGTGATACAAGTATCTAAATAAATAGTTTAAAATTTGATTTTCTAGATGGCAAGTTTAACCGTGCTAATTTGTCATTCTGGCAAGTGGAACATTGAAATTTTTTATGTCAATTCGATTGATGGGATACTGATAAAGGAGTATGCATCGTACAATGATTTGGTTGCTTCAATTTCGAAGCAACTTGGCATAGATTTGAGCTCAAAGTCAATTAAAATTGAATACAAAGTGGAAAGAAATTGTACGCCTATAGAAATACACAACGACATGGGTTACAGAGTGTATGTAGAGTTGAAAAGGGAGAACAGAGAATTAGGGATGTATGCATTGTGTATAACTACAATGTATAAAGAAATTGTAGCTGGAAGACGTTTAATTCAAAGTTACCTAATGCAACTTGACGAAACCGATGGGGTGAGTAAATTTGATACAGTTGATATACTTGCACTTGAGTCTTTAAACTCAGGTGAACCAATTGAGATTTTCGAACCGGAAAAGGATTTGATTGTTTCAAAAACTAATCAAAAAGAGGCGATGGCTGGACAAGTATATAAGGATAAAGCCGCGTTGAAGGCGGTGATGGAGCAATATGCAATTGCTGAAAGGTTTCAATTCCAGGTTGATAGGTCAAATACTATCAGGTTCGAATGTTATTACTTACAAACTCTTCACCAATATATTGTATTCAACTATATGTATATGTATTCGTAATAGTTTTATAGTGTATTCATGGCAGCATATTATAAATACAGCAAGTATAATGTTGTATTCATAATATATGCTCTCCTTCATGCTATGTTTATCAAATTATCAGATAAACATAAAGTACCAAATTCAGAGTAGGTATATACACATGTATTCTGTAAATGTAGCCACATGTATTCTATAAATGTATTCACTAATATAACGCTGTATTCACATGTATATAAGTGTATTCTGAATTTTATATGTTGTTGTATCCATGTTCTGTATCAGTATTTTTTATTGAATGCTCTGAAACAGTTATAGGAGAATTGGACTATTTATATTAATGTGTTCATAATACATTATTTTATGCAATGTATTCAACAATCTTTTATATTATATTCATATAACATACATTGTATTTCATTGTATGTTTCTATATTTAAAACTTTGTTGACAAATAAAAATGTTGTGTGTCTGTAGCCGAATCAGCTGTAGGATCTGTATATGTTTTATCCATACATAACCAATCGTATTTATAACACAAATGTATTTGTAGTTATACATTGTTATGTATTTCTGAGGATTGTGAATGGAAATTTAAGGCTTCTAGTATTAACAAATCACAAATGTTCAAAGTGAGGGAGTTCAATGATAAACATACATGTCCGTTGAAGGATAAGATGTATGAGCAACGTCAAGCAACCAGTAGGTTGATTGGGGGATTGATTAGGTCCAAGTTTACTAATCATAAGAGGAAATACACGCCAAAGGATATAATTGATGATGTGAAATCGGACTTTGGTGTAGATGTTAGTTACATGTTGGCGTGGCGCGCTAGAAAAAAGGCAGTGAATTTTCTAAGGGATAAACCAACCGATTCATACAATAAATTACCAGGGTACTTATATACACTGGATATGACATATCCTGGTTCACATATTAGAATGAAAAAATCACCTACAAATGAGTTCATGTATTTATATATATCGTTGTATGCTTTTATAAAGGGGTTCGGTTAATGTAGACCCATCATCGTTGTGGATGAAAGCCGCCTAAAATCAGCATACACAGGGACATTCGTCTCGGCTAGCACATTGGATGGTGTAGGTTATTCAGTTAAAAAAAATACATATAAGTTTGATTAACATAAAATATGCTATTTTGACGTTTTAATACAGCTTGAATGATATTTTTTTATCTGTATGCAATTGTATTTACAGGACATATATTGCCACTAGCATATGGTGTTGTTGATTCAGAGAATGATGCTGCTTGGTTGTCGCTCTTTGAGAAATTTAAGGTGGATTATGGCGAGCGGGAAAATATGTGAATCATTTCAGATAGGAATGAGAGCATAATCAAATCTGTATCGAGAGTGTATCCTACAGTACCCCATTTTGCTTGTATATAACATCTATGGAACAACGTATATAAGAAATTCAAAAAGAGTCATGCAAAGTTGAGCGAGGTATACTTTTCAATGGCAAAAGCATATACCTAGTATGCATTTGATAGTCTAATGAAAAAGGTGGAGAAGGTAGATATTTGGGTGAAAGATTACTTGGAATTAGGTGGATACGAAAAGTGAGCTAAGTTATATGCATATGTTAACCGGGGATAGACCATGACGTCAAATATTGCTGAGTCAATCAATTCGACACTTGTATCAACAAGAGAATTACCAATATAAGACTTCCTAGAAGAAGTTAGGAAGATGTTTGGACGTTGGAATTTCAGCAATCGAAAAGAAGCTTCACACACATACACAATGCTTGGGAAAAAATATCAGTAGATCCTTACATTGAATGAGGCACTGTCTACACGCATATTTGTAAGTTTTATTTGCTATAAGTACTTGCATTGACAAAATTAAGATATATGAATACATCATGTATCTATGCCTGATACAACCTGTATTAGTAACCTACTGCCTTCCCTTTTTATAATAACACTAGTGCATGTATTCTATTGTATCTAACAGTTGTATTCAATATATTCAAATGTATTTTTGTATTTAACTGTATATTATATATATTCATAATACATGTTACTACAGCTATATTGTGTATATTTCATTGGTTGTATTCAATGATTTTCTATTTGTATTGACAGTATTGTACTGTATTTCAATGTATTTCACAAATAAATGTATTCACTTTAATATTCTCTATGATAAATAGTATTTGAATTCAAAGTATTTCAAATATTTTTTTCTTGTATTCATGTATATTGTATTTAATACGTTAAGTCATTGACATATACATGTCTTGTACAAATGTCCGCAACTTATATTTCTCCGTTTAATGTAGGTTGTACCATCGACTGAGCACTAGCACATGGTGAACGATGAAGGAAGGCATTATACCGTTTGCATCCTAGAGAAAACTTGTAGTTGTGGGCGGGTTCAAATTGACGAATTACCATGCCTACATGCTTGGGCTGTCTTGAAAAGTAAGTTTCTGATGCTGGAAGATTATTGCTTGGACTATTACAAACTAAAGTCTGTTGTAATGGCATACGAGGTGCCCGTGTATCCACTGCCTGACCGAAGTGAATGGAATATACCAGCACATATATCAGAGGAAGTTGTCTTACCACCCAAATGGAAAAGACCTCCCGGAAGGCCAAAAAAGAAGCGCGATAAGCCGTTAAGTGAATTGCTTCAGAAGAAAAATCAACATTTGTGTAGTATATATAGGCATGGAGGACATAATATGCGTACTTGTAGAAATGCTCCACGTAGGAATTAATTCATGTTCTGATTTTAATTACTGAAATAACTATATGATATAGATTTGTTCAAGTTTTCTATTACATATTGATTTCTTGGTGTATTGGATTCTTACTGGATGATTTTTTTAAGTTTAGATTACTAAATTGAACACTATTATGATGTATATACAGGTATGAGATATAGCAGGACATGTATACATATGTTGTATTCAACAATATGTATATGTATTCGTAATAGTTTTATAGTGTATTCATGGCTGGATAGTGTATTCATTATGTTCTTCACCAATATGTTGTATTCAACTATAGGTACAGAGGAAGTTGTCTTACCACCCAAATGGAAAAGACCTCCAGAAGGCCAAAGAAGAAGCGCGATAAGCCGTTAAGTGAATTGCTTCAGAAGAAAAATCAACATTAGTGTAGTATATGTGGGCAGGGAGGACATAATAAGCATACTTGTAGAAATGCTCCACGTAGGAATTAGTTCATGTTCTGATTTAATTACTGAAATAACTATATGACATAGATTTGTTCAAGTTTTCTATTACATATTGATTTCTTGGTGTATTAGATTCTTACTAGATGATTTTTTTAAGTTTAGAACGCCATTATGATGTATATACATGTATGAGGTATAGCAGGACATGTATACATAAAAATAAAGAAGTGTACATTCAAAAAGAATTGAATACATATGTAATTCAATTCCAAACAAACTTCTGAATACATAATACAACTATGTACATGATTATACTAATACGTAAATACAACAGAATACAAACATAGGAAATAAAATAGAATATAATCACTGAATATAGTTAAGTTCGAAATATAATAAATACAGTAAAATACGATGAATACAACCACAAAAAACAGTGAAAACAACCACTGAATACAATACTGCATATTATTTAAATATAGTAGAATATAGCAGGGATATAAAACCATTGAATTATGCTGAAAATAGCAGCGATATATATCAGCAGAATACAACTATATAAATACATAATAGAACTATGTGGATGATTATGCTAATACATAAATACAACAGATGTGATGACCCAAAATGTCATTTTTAAATTTAATAATTAATTATGTATTCTAAGACCTCGAAAAACACTATTTATCATTCCCCGACTTGAGTGCGCAGTCCCTAAAATTTTCCGAAAAGTTTTTATGTGAAAAATGGATTAAAATATGAATTAGAGCTTTAAAACTCAACTGAGTTAACTTTGGTCAACATTTTAAGCAAAACGGACCTGGATCAGTATTTTGACAGTTTCAGTAGGTCCGTATTGTGAATTGGGACTTGGGCGTATGCACGAAATCAAATTCCGAGGTACCTAACCCGAGATATGGAATTTTGATGAAAAATTAAAAGTTTAAGTTCAAATAGTGACCGGATGTTGAATTATGTATAAACGACCCCAGAATAGAATTTTGATGATTCCAACAGCTCCGTATGGTGATTTTGAACTTAGGAGCATGATCGGAATTTTATTTGGAAGTCCGTAGTGAAATTAGGCTTGAAACGGCTAAAATAAGAATTTAAAGTTTGGAAGTTTGACCGGGGAGTTAACTTTTTGATATCGGGGTCAAAATCCAGTTCTGAAAATTTTTACAACTCCGTTATGTCATTTATGACTTGTGTGCAAAATTTGAGGTCAATCAGACTTGATTTGATAGGTTTCGACATCGAATGTAGAAGTTGGAAATTTTAAGTTTTATTAAGCTTTAATTGGAGCATAATTCGTGGTTTTAGCGTTGTTTTATGTCATTTGAGATTTCAAATAAGTCCGTATGATATTTTAGGACTTGTTGGTATATTTGGTTGAGGTCCCGAGGGTCTCGGGTGAGTTTCGGATGGTTAACGGATCAAAAGTTGGACTTAAAACAACTGCTGCAATTTTTCTCTACTGTTGGAAATTCTGGGCTGTGATCGAGCCCAAGATCGAGGCAGGCCCAAGATCGAGGCAGCCCAAGATCGAGGCAGCCCATGATCGGACTCCCCATGTGATCGGACTCCCCATGATCGGACTCCCCATGATCGGACTCCTATATCGAGGTCTATGATCGGACTCCATAATCGAGGTCACCCTGGACAGATCTGTAAGTTATAAAAATAAGGGGGTTCTCCTGTTAATTGTTTTACCTGTTTAGTTGAAACTTGGTTTCTTTTACTCTGTGCATTATTTGAAATTGATTTTTTTAAATTAAATATTATTAATATGAAGTATTTGACATTTTAAATTTGGTATTGAAGCAACGTATTAAAGATTTGAAATATTATTTTGCTAAATTATTTATCCCTGAATATGTTTGTAAGATTTTTGTACTCATTGTGATGGAGCCGTGAACTCTTTATTGTGGAAAAATATTATTGATGATTTATGTTGGCATGAGCCGTGAGCTCTTTATTGTGAAAAAATATCGTTGTTGATTTATTTTGGCAAATTAAAATATTTGGGCACTTGAGGTGCAAATTGTGATATATTGTGATATTGATACGCATGCGGTGGTATAAGGTCTGGGTATTGAAACGCATGCGGTGAGATAAGGATGGCTTGATATGCGTGGCTAGTAGGGAGAACTACTAGAATTCATGCGGTGTGATAAGGATGGCTAAAATACGGGATGCTATTTCGGGAAAAATATTTTCTTTAAAATAAATTGTGAAGGCTCCCGCGGTGAGATAAGGAAATGAGATATTGTGAATTTATTTATGATTTGGGACTACGAGGCGGTACCTTGGGAGTGCCCTTGTTGATATTGAATTATGGCCGTAGTTGCCTTGATTTTTGTTGTGATTTTTTTTTCCTAAAGTTGAAAAGAAATTCTGTTTTGTTTCCACGAGGTATTTATTTGCCATTATTTGGTAAAATTAAATGTGACATACTACTTGATTCATGTCCATTGTCATTTTATCTTATTATATTGTTTAAACATTTTATATGTCATTATTTATTCTCCAGTAGGGTCTGACCTGACCTCGTTTCTACTCTACCGACGTTAAGCTTGGCACTTACTGGGTACCATTGTAGTGTACTCATACTACGCTTCTGCACATATTTTTGTGCAGATCCATGTACTTCTTACCATCTCAGACATCAGTGAGTACCTGTGCACAGAGACTCTGAGGTATATCTGCCAGCGTCCGCAGACTCCGGAGTCCCCTTCTATTATTGTTGTGTTGATTTCTCTATTTTCTTAGACTCTGTTATATAGAGACATTGAGGATAAATTCTTAGAAGCTTGTGACTTATTTCTACTGGGTTTTGGGAGTTGAAATTATTTGAATTATAGTTTATTTATTTCAGATATTTATTATTTTTTCGTATTGATAGACTTACCTAATTTTAGAGACTAGGTGCCATCACGACATTCTACGGAGGGAATTTGGGGGTAGTGACAAGTAAATATGAATTAACAACATAACTTAAATACTGTTATGGATTGTATCATTAACATCTTAAAGACAAGAAGACATTCATGTATTCAAAACCAAAAAAGATTGCGTACAACCATGATGTATTCAGTAATAAGCTGCAAATACGATCCGTTTTACAGAAAACTATTCTAAAACTATCTTCACAGAAGTATACGAATTTATGATTTGCCTAACAATCTTTGCGGGTGCTTCATTGTCTCTTATCGCATCGGTTGACCTTTGAATACCACCATCATGTCTCCCAGTATATTTCTTTCTTTGATATACCCTTTCTGTATTATGATTGGCTTTAACATGTTGAGAAAGCTTTTTGAAATTTTCATTGATCAATGATCGTAGAGAAGTGAACTCGCCCATCACCTAATAATTACACAAACAATTAGAGAGGGGTTAGCACATATAGGAAAGTTAATACATAAATTGTAAAGTTGAATATGTCACGACCCAAACAGATAGACTTTGACGAGTGCCCGAGTTCTACCTACCGAACACCCATAAGAATACATCTAAGATATAAATATGAAATAAGTGTAGGTCATGCATAACATCTGCCCCTAAACTGCTGAATCATGTGAGGCTTTCACGAAAGATAGAGGAGCGACTCCAGGAGAGATTCATCTGACAACTCAACTAGAGCGGATCCCGAGACTTTACCCCTTCCTTTAAACTGTTGGGCACTACATTCTATAAAAAGAAAGTGAAAATAAAAGGTAAACAAAAGAGAGAACAAATGCGACAGAAAGCGTCAGAGCTTCGAAAGCCTGAATTGATAACATACGTGAGGACACATACTCAAAATACATATATACATACATGAGGAATACAGTAGGGCAAGCCGACAAGGCCACATACTATCTAACTATAGATGACCATCTACAGACCTCTAATAGAGTGTAAAACTATATAAAGGACGAGATTGTGCCCCGTCATACCCTTATATGTATACAAAAGTATCGTACCAAAACCCAATAGCAGATCCAGATCAAATGAAGCACACCAACTCTCGCTGAGATAGGATCCTAAGTAGGGGGACCGTCAGCCTGTCTACCTACACCTACGGGCAAGAAACGCAGACCCCCAGGCAATAAGGATGTCAGTACGAATAATGTACCTAGTATGTAAGGCATAAAAATTAATATATAAAAGGCATGAAAGAAACATGGAGTAAAGAACTCAACCTGTAAGTCTGAATAGCTCTGTGAATCATGAAAATATTTATAATGTTATGTGTATGGGTATAAATGTCATATCATGCATAGGTATATGCATACGCAACATCATCAAGCCCGTGAGGGCATCCCATCATATTATCTCAGTCTCTGTGGGCGAAATCATAAACGTATACCAACTGATCAGGTGGTGGTGTATATATAACGCCATAACCTTTCCCCCGTACCACATATACATATACTATAAGCGTATATAACGCCATCTGGTCATAGGTCAATATACATGTATAAATGAATGTAGTGCATAATGAAATAAGTCAATAATATCTCTCGGAATGTCATGAGACCCATGAACAGACGATATGATAGTAGGACATATGGGGAATCAAGAACATAGGTAACCCTAGTACTTCTAGGAATAGAATTATTCGTGAAAGTGGCGTGCTTGCTCGTTTCGTTGTATCATATGGATCATGCCAAAAGGAAAGAAGGGATAGCCTTAACATACCTGTATGATCTCTTCCTTATTACTCAACCAATCTCAACACAACTTCTTGTGTCTATAACAAGTGAAATGATATTGCTGTTAACAAATAATGTTGTACCATTGTATTTGGCTAGTCGTATGGCTTAAGGAAAATCGGGCAGCAACTCCCCTATTTTTAATACATCACAAAGACAATTAAGGGTCAGCAACAGCCTAACAACAACAACAATAACCAACAATAGCAACAACAACAATATAATCCAATATGAGTTTCTCCAATTA